TATAATTTATGCATGTTTTATAAAATATTAACTGCAGAGAGTGAAAATTCTGCCTAGTTTTCAGACTATCTGAGTAAATAATTGGGCAGGTAAGGGGTGTTTTTAGATGGTGGTTAATAAAATAGAATATGTAGTCATTTGCTCTAAACATTTAGTCCTCGATTTGCAGGGATGTTTTTACATACATATCTATGTAGACATATAAACACATATGAATACATGCACATATGTGTGTATAAAACTAGTGATACTGAAAGTAATAGAATGGAAATATTTTGGGGGCCAGTTATCATTTGGCTTTAGTCTTGGGTTCTTTGGGTTGTTTGAGGGCAGATGATATAGCAAGCTTTAGTTTATGAGCTTTATTTATTGCTGGAGAATATTGTGCAGCTGCTAGATATGTGGTAGACATGTGTTAGTTTTTTAAAATGATGTCTACATAGGATTTGCCTGGTAGGCATGTATTTTGTGAGAACCAAACTAATAGACAAAAGTAAAAACACTATTTTGACAAATTGAATTGCTAAACTACTTGTATTTGGGATATATTTGGTTGCTAGGGATTAATTTGTTACTTTGCTTTCTATATTGCAGATACATGCTATTTCATAAAATATTTTTAATTTCTATCAATAATTTTGAAATACCTTTTCATTGAAACGTTAAAGTATGGTCATTGTTTGATCTTAAAGTAGAGTGAGCATCTTGATGAATTAGGCTAGGATTTTGAGTTTTATTATTATTTATAAATAATATTTATTATTTTTTATTATTCTTGAGGTTTTCTCATTAGACATTATTTGTTAGAGTGTAGAAATCATCATTCATATTTTTAAATACACAGACTTGTATATTTTTTCTTTCCATCTAAATTTCGAGTTTTAAATATTGGAACAGAGTAAGGACACATTCCACACTTGTCTAACAGGCAAGCTCTTCTTTAACAAGTTCCTATGTGTTCTAAAACCACACACACACACACACGGAATCAATATATTAATGTTAAACTAATGGTGAAAAATATATATTATGAATAGAAGTGTTGCATGACCATTATGTGTTTATACTTAGTCTGTATGGGGGGGACAGTATTATTAGGTGGTTGTGTGCCTATGATCAGATTTTTGTTTTTTGTACCATATAATGCTAGATGTTCAGAAATTTCTGTCATGGTTTTGAATATATATTTACCTAAAAGTCATAGCACATAAGCTTTATGCTTGTAGAAGTGGAATGGTACATTAAGTATCACTGTTCTTGAGTGACTTTTAGAATGCTGTGTATGCAGTTAAAAACATGTGTTCTTTCTAGATACAGACATTTCTTATATAATTTTACCTCTAACTGTGGGACATGTAGCTGTAACATATTTTCCCAGATGTGCTAAGGTTCCTGATGCAATTCAGTTTCCTAGAGAAAATTGTATAGAAATGTTTGTGTTCACTTGCTAACATGGCAATAGCCAAAATAATTTTGTAAATAAGGAGCAAGAGTAATATTTAGTTTTAAACATGTAATATTTCTAAATATACTGAAAATCTAAAAAGTTTAATTTTATAACTATTTCATTATAAATGTGTTAGTACTATTGTCTTTTAAAATCAACATAGCAATGAAGTTGACAAACAGGCCTTTGTAGCTATGCAAAATTTATCATACGTTAGTTTGGTTGCTAAGTGGAAACACTGACAACATTACACATTTATCCTGTTCTCTTATAGAAGGAGAATTGGCTGTTGTATCAAGTACGTATATTTAAAACTTACACCATGTAAATTCTTTTGGCATATCTAATTCAAACCAAGATTCCTGACATATTTCATTTATATTATTTTTATTAAGAGCAGTTTCAGGTTCACAGAAAAATTGAGAGGAAGGCACAGATTTCCCATGTACCCTCTGCCTGAACACTTGCATAATTCCCCACATTATCAACCCAGTACATGTATGAAAATCCACCTCCATTATCGAATCCCCTATGAGAGTTGGACATTTGTTAAAATTGATGACCCCACATTGACACAATCACCTAGTGTCAGTAGTTTATACACATTATGATTAACTCTTGCTCTTGTACATTCTTGGGTTTGGAAAAATATATTAATCATCATCATATTGTAATGGCCCTAAAAAGCCTTTATGCTCTAACTACTCACCCTTCTTATATTTTTTGTCTTTATTTTTTTCTTCTTAATATTCAAATTAATAAATGACTTTGTCAAAGAAATTTTATACTACCTCTTGGAACTATATACAGTTCTGTATGTGTTCCCTCAGTTGCATGACAATATTCAAGACAATTTTGTAAATAGGCAGATATAGGTTTTAATTTTTAACATCTAGACTTTCTAGATGTATAGAGTCTCACAGAGTATAATTTTGTAAATAATTCATTGTAAAGTTCCATTGTTTTCTTCAGAAATCTCAGCAGTGAAATTGATGCTGTTGTGGATTTCTTGAGCTGTTTAGGGTTCTGCTTTCTGAGTTATGGAAAAGCAAGAGTTAAAATGGCACTTTTCATTTTTGGATTCTCATCTAAGAGAAAGTTTTATATTTTAATCATTGTTTAGTCCTTAGATTTTTGTACATTAAAAAAGTCAAGTAATAATTTGTAGTTGTACTGTTGATAGGGCATTATATATTTTAATGAAAGGAAATGTGTCTTATAAGATTTTATTGCCTTTGAATTATACAGTGTTGTACTTAATTGGAATGCATGACAACATACAAGACAACATTGTAAATAGCAGTAAAAGAATCATTAAAAAATCTAGTTTTTCTAGATGCATGGGATTTCACTAAGTATAAATTTGTAAATATCTTATAAAATATCATGAGGTGGCTTCTATGAATGTATTAGCAGTGTAATAACTTATAATTGGCTTTTAGGACTGTGTAATATTTTGGTGTTTAGTTCAGTTGCTCAGTCATGTCCAACTCTTTGTGATCCCATGGACTCTAGCATGCCAGGCTTCCCTGTCCAATAACAACTCCTGGAGCTTATTCAAACTCATGTCCATTGAGTCGGTGATGCCATCCAACAGTCTCATCCTCAGTCGTCCCTTACTCCTTCTGCCTTCAATCTTCCCCAGCATCAGGGTCTTTTCAAATGAGTCAGTTTTTTGCATCAGGTGGCCAAAGTATTGGAGTTTCAGCTTCAGCATCTCTCCTTCCAATGAACGTTCAGGACTGATTTCCTTTAGGATGGATTGGTTGGATCTCCTTGGAGTCCAAGGAACTCTTCAAGAGTCTCCTCCAACACCACAGTTCTAAAGCATCAATTCTTTGGTGCTCAGCTTTCTTTATAGTCCAACTCTCACATCCATACATGACTACTGGAAAAATCATAGCTTTGACTAGAAAGGACTTTTGTTGGCCAAGTAATGTCTCTGCTTTTTAATATGCTGTCCTACTTGGTCATAACTTTTATTCCAAGGAGCAAGTGTCTTTTAACTTTATGACTGCAGTCACCATCTGCAGTGAATTTGGAGCCCGAAAAAGTAAACTCTCCTTGTTTCCATTGTTTCCCCATCTATGCCATGAAGTGATGGGACCAGATGCCATGATCGTAGTTTTCTGAATGTTCAGTTTGAAGCAAACTTTTTCACTCTCCTCTCTCGCATTCATTAAAAGGCTCTTTAGTTCTTCTTTCCTTTCTGCCATAAGGGTGGTATCATCTGCATATCTGAGGTTATTGATGTTTCTCCCAGCAGTCTTGATTCTAGCTTGTACTTCATCCAGCCTGGCATTTCTCATGATGTACTCTGCATGTAAGTTAAATAAACAGAGTGACAATATACTGCCTTGATGTACTCCTTTCCCAATTTGGAACCAGTCTGTCGTTCCATGCCCAGTTCTAACTGTTGCTTCTTGACCTGCATACAGATTTCTCAGGAGGTAGGTCAGGTCATCTGGTATTCCCATCTCTTGAAGAATTTGACATAGTCAATAAAGCAGAAATAGATGTTTTTCTGGAACTCTCTTGCTTTTTTGATGATCCAACAGATGTTAGTAATTGATTTGTGGTTCCTCTGCCTTTTCTAAATCTAGCTTGAACATCTGGAACTTCGTGGTTCACATACTTTTAAACTAGGTGTCTCTTTGCTCCCTACTTTTGCATTCCAGTCCCCTATAATGAAAAGGACATCTTTTTTGAGTGTTAGTTCTAAAAGGTCTTCATAGAACTATTCAACTTCAGCTTCTTCAGCATTAGTGGTGGGGCATAGAGTTAGATTAGTGTGATATTGAATGGTTTGCCTTGGAAATGAACAGAGATCATTCTGTCATTTTTGAGATTGCAACCAAGTACTGCATTTCTGACTCTTTTATTAACTATGAGGGCTACTCCCATTTCTTTTAAGGGATTCTTAATGACAGTAGTAGATATAGTCTTCATCTGAATTAAATCACTATTACAGTCCATTTTAGTTCACTGCTGAAATGTCCATGTTCACTGTTGCTATCTCCTATTTGACCACTTCCAATTTGCCTTGATTCATGGACCTAACATTCCAGGTTCCTGTGCAATACTGCTCTTTACAGCTTCAGACTATACTTCAATCACCAGTCACATCCACACCTCGGTGGTGTTTTTGCTTTGGCTCCGTCTCTTCATTCATTTTTGAGTTATTTCTCCACTGATCTCTAGTAGCATATTGGGGACCTATTGACCTGGGGAGTTCATCATTTTGTGATGAACACAAAATAAACACAAGAAGGTGTTTTGGGGGTTCTCAAGGCAAGAATACTGAAGTGGTTTGCAATTTCCTTCTCCAGTGGAGCACGTTTTTCTATAACTCTCCACCATGGCCCGTTTATGTTGGGTGACCCTACACAGCATGCCTCGTAGTTTCATTGAGTTAGACAAGGCTGTGGTCCATGTGATTAGTTTTCTATGATTGTCCTTTTCATTCTATTTGCCCTCTGATGGAGAAGGATAAGAGGGTTATGGAGTTTCCTGATGGGAGAGAACTGACTGAGGGGAACTGGGTCTTGTTTTGATGGGCTGGGCCATACTCAGTACATCTTTAATCCAATTTTCTGTTGATGGGTGGGGCTGTGTTACCTCCCTTTTGTTTGACCTGAGGCCAAACTATGGTGGAGGTAATGAAGATAATGGTGACCTCCTTCAAAAGGTCCTGTGCACACACTGGTTTACTGAGTGCCCCGACCCTGCAGCAAGCCACCACCAACCCAGGCATCCGCTGGAGATGACTGGACATTCACCAGCAAGTCTGAGTCAGTCTCTTCTGGGGCCACTGCTCTTTCTCTTGGGTCTCGGTGCACACAAGGTTTTCTTTGTGCCCTCCAAGAGTCTGTTTCCCCAGTCTTGTGTAAGTTCTGGTGGCTCTGTTGTGGGGTTAATAGTGACCTCCTACAGGAGTGCCTATGCTATACCCAGGTCTGCTGCATCCAGAGCCCCTGCCCCAGCGGCAGGCCCCTGATGATCCATTCCTCCACTGGAGACACACTCAAAGGCAGGTCTAGCTCAGACTCCGTGGCATCCCTGGTGAGCCCAAGGTTTTGTTTGAGCCCTTCAAGCATCTGGTGGGTATGGGGTTTGATTCTAAACGTGATTTTGCCCCTCCAGCCATCTTGCTGGGGCTTCTTCTTTGCCCTTGGATGTAGAGTATTCTTTTTTGGTGGGATCCTTCATTCTCCTGTCAACAGTTGTCCAGCAGCGAGTTGTAATTTTGGAGTTCAGAGGGGAAGATGAGCGCCTGACCTTCTGCTCTTCCATCTTGGGTCTATCATTACAGTTGGTGTTTATGCAGTGAGTTTTTGGGCATAGTGATGCCTAGATTGTCTCCATGTCTGCAGATTGTTAGATTCTCATAGGAAAAGATTAGATTGCATACTTTTAACAAAGAAAAATGACCAAAGGATTTTATTTTTATCTTTAGGAAGAAAGGAAGACATTAAAAGGGAATTGTCATTTAAGTCTTAGCTATTTTCATAGCTAACATAAAGTAATGGTTATTTTGCTGTACTATATAAATGTACTGGTTGAAAATTTATATGTATATACAAATATACTGTAAATGTATATACACATATGTAAAATTATTTTTAGGGATATAGATAGGATAATTTCTTTTTAAACATCTCTTCATTGCTTTACTTTTTTTCTTTTTGGAAAAAAATGGAAATTGAATTTCAGTTATAAGCTTAAATGTGTAGAAACCTGCTTCATTTATATCTAAATGTTAATTTTTATATAAAATGTTTAAGTGGCTATGTATTTTTTTTAATGTTTCCCTATATACTTCTGTGCGAACAGAATTTCTGTGATGTTGAGTTTTTTTTTTCTGAGAGCTTTTGAAAATTTTCTGGTGGGTAGTTAAATTTGTATATTATAATCAGTAACTAATGTCAGGAGTATTCTCAGTTGCCTATAATGTAAATAATGAAAATTTGTTAGAAGTATCATTAGTATATCTTAGTTTGTGTAGCAGTTTGGCAATGACAATCAAAATTTGAATGTGTAAAACTTTTGAAATGATAAAACGCTGATGGGATTTTACCTATTACTGTTCTCAACTTCATAAAGAAGATATGTTAGAGATTGTAACATAATTTGAATATTTGAAATATGCATCATTAAAAGAAGAATTGTAATGATAGCTTATTTGTATGACTGTCATTCAAACACTGAAAAAATATTCTGATGTTGAAGAATGTTTTAAGTTGATTCTTTTAATTGTCATTTCTGAACAGATAACAGCTAAATGTGTATGCTGAGGTGTGTCCATATGCCTCTTTTTTCTATTTGAAATATTAATAGTTAGTATTCCTGGGGAATGGGTTTATTCTGACATGATGATAGAGTTAAATAATGCTTACTCAGTAGTGTTAAGTATAATGGTGATTATTTTAGCATTCTTTTTGAAACTTTTGCACATGTGTAAGTTCAGTACTAAAACATGTTGCTACAGAACAGTGTAAAAATACAAATGTGGATTATGGAATAGAAAGTTGTCTGGAAAATCATAGCAAAAATTTAACATTATTATATAAATATACCAGGAAAAAAGGGACAGATGCTATTTACTGCCTTTAAAATTTTATATTTCAAAAGCAACATCTAACAAACAAAGGAACTTAAAAGATACAGCCAATTTGTGCTTGTCTTCATCATTACCTGTTGACATTTTGGAGTGTTGGGCTGTTGAATCCAGCTTTGGATTCCCAGTGACTGTTACGCATAGCTTTTGAGTGATCATGAAGAGCGTGGACTTAGATACTAGTGCGGCAGAGAGTTTACAACAGTGAAACAAAGAGTATTTGATTACCCTCGGAAAGAAGGGAAAAGATGGGATTTGAGGTAGGTGCTATACAATTATGTTTGGGTTGACAAACACATGAATGATAAAAGTAGTCATTGAAAGTTTCTATAAAGGGTAATTTTATAAGACAGTGCCATATTTGTGGCATATTGTTGAAGGAAAGTCTCTTGGAATAGCTTGGGAATTACTCTTAATTAATGGGCCTAATTGGAGAATGGATTATTTTCCTTTAAGTAGTTTGAGTCTGTTGAATGGGTTGGTCATAGGTCTTTATGGCTTTTTAGATTATTCAGAATTTGTATGAAAAATTTCAGTACTCTCAACATTCATACTGAAAGTACTCTGAGAAGATGTAAAGTGTAAAAAAAAAAAAATTCTGTTTGGGCCAGTCATGTTTGCTAGTTTTTTAGTTTACATTCACTATTCCTGTCACTTCTAAAGTTATCATAATTAGTGTCTCCTGGAGTTTTATTTTTATCTGACCTTGGCTTTATTGTATACTTGCTTCTCAGGTAAATATGGTGAAAGAAAACATGCAGATAATCTGAGGATATCTGACATCATCAGGAACATTCTTCCTATGGAGTTCCTTAATTTATAAGTCTCAACTGTAAACCACAAGTAAGAAGGTTTTGGATCAAGAAATGCTGTATTTTGGCTAGGCTCAGGAAAATAACACTGGTGCAGACTTCATGCACTTAGGAATTTTCAGATATTCCTGAGAATCAGTAAGTAAGCCAGTTATTTAAAAATATAATTGCATTAAAGATGGAGTCCATGAATAATGTAGGCGATGGCCTGCCTTCAGTTAATTTACTTAACACCAAATAGGATAACATAACTAATATTGCAAAACAAATGATGATCAATATTTTACTAATTATAAATTAGGGAATAGACTGGCTATTTTTGCATGTATAGTTTGGTGGTATGATAATGGTAGAGGTTCATGGCAGCCTAAGAAAGGTGCTGATATAAAATAATAGTAGTAAATTTATGTTGGAGAGTTGAATCAGCTACAGGATTGATTGATTAATGAGGAACTGTTTCTAAGTGTTGGTTCCACATTAGCCTCCACTTACCTGCTGCTTCAGTGTTTGGTCAGAATGCTATGTGTTTTACCTTATTATGTTCTTTTTCCCTGTAGGGAGGCAGTAGTTCAAGAAAAGATACTTTTGCCATCTTTGTTTTAATGTCAGTAAGTGTTGTCACCAGACTAGTTGCATTACTGCTCATTCCAGGTTTTCTTCACTTCCATCTCTGGGCTCAGGAGAACCCCTTGGTGACTGATTGTAAGGGCAGTCTGAGTGCTCATTTGATTCAAGGCAGGGCACTTTGGTTTGACAGGAACTGATATTCTGCTTTTCTTAAATTTGATGGAATTTTGGTGGCAGCTAGTGTTTATTGTTCAGATAACATATAGGTAACAAATTATCCTAAACTTAGTAATATATAATACATTATTGTGCTATTTCTACAGATTCTGTGGGTGAAGATTTCTGAGAGTGCCAGAATGTATGTGGAATCAACTGGGAAGACCCAGTCCAATGGTTGAGAGTGATTCAAACCACTGGAGTGTTCTGGATACTCACATCTGGCACTGGTTTTAGATGACTTGGAAGGTGGGCTTAGCTAAAAGGCTTTTAACCATCACACAGTCAAGTTCTCACTTGAATCATAAAAATAAGTGTTTGAAGTGGCATGGCCTTTTTTGGTCTAGTTTCAGAGGTTATGTAGCATCATTTCTGCCATATTCTGTTGGCTAACCTTGTCATATGGCCAACCAGAATTTCATGGCATGGTGGGATAGTGCCAAGGTGACTGCAGGCACAGATAGCTTGTAAGACCAGATAGAAGACAGTACAATAGGTTAAGAGCTACAAATGTGAAGCTTCAGTAGTTTTTTTGTTTTTGAAGGGGTCCTTGATTTTCAGAATTCCACTTTTCTCACACTGAGAGAGATAATTTTTGGCAAATATCTTACTCATTGCCTGACATAAGTCATACTGAATTGTTTTGTGATTTGGGGAGTTAATTAGGCAAAAGATAAGAAATTAGGGGAAAAGTACATGATTTTTGGATTAAGTCACTTGGGAAATGCAAAATGGAAAAGATTCAGGTCCAGTATGATACCAAAATGCAGAATCTTAGAATTCCTGAAGCTGTGGAACTATAGGAAGAATGAGAGGGGACAGCTGTTGATGAAGTCAGTAATGTAACAGATGCTGAATTCCTGCACTTGATACCCTAGGAGCTTTTCCTTCATTCCCCATTCTACCTTGCTGTAGGATTGCTTCATGGAATGTGCTGGCAAGAGCTGAATACTGACAAATTCCTTAAACATTCTTTCTCAGAGAGCCTTATTGCCCATCTGCTGTCCATGGGATAATCTTGAAAGTAAAAGTTTTACCTTTAATCAGAAAATGTTTCCTTTTTCCTCAGGGATAAATCACAACTAAAGAGAAGATGACAGGCTTCCCTCATAGCTCAGTTGGTAAAGAATCTGTCTGCAGTGCTGGAGACCCCAGTTTGATTGCTGGGTCAGGAAGATTCACTGTAGAAGGGATAGGCTACCCCCTCCAGTATTCTTGGCCTTCCCTTGTGGCCCAGCTGATAAAGAATCTGCCTGCACTGCAGGAGATGTGGGTTTGATATCTGGGTTGGGAAGATCCTCTGGAGAAAGGGATAGGCTACCCACTTAAATATTTTTGGGCTTCCCTTGTGGCTCAGCTGGTAATGAATCCACCTGCAATGCAGGAGACCTGGGTTCGATCTCTGAGTTGGGAAGATCCTCTGGAGAGAGAGAGAGGTTGCCCACTCCAGTATTCTGGCCTGGAGAATTCCATGGACTGTAGTCCATGGGATCACAAATAGTCAGACATGGCAGAGCCATTGTCCTTTCACTTTCTTTCACTTTTTCAAAGACAAGATTAATGGTGTTTTGAGAGGTACCTGCTCAGCAATTTTGATGGGGCCTAGAGTAATGGATTTGGAGAAGGCAGTGGCACCCCACTTCAGTACACTTGCCTGGAAAATCCCATGCATGGGGGAGCCTGATGGGCTGCAGTCCATATGATCACTAAGAGTCGGACACGACTGAGTGACTTCACTTTCACTTTTCACTGTCGTGCATTGGAGAAGGAAATGGCAACCCACTC